CGGCAGTTCCCGGCTCGCATCTCACGTCCCCTCTCCCCGCACAGGTACATGATGATGCGAGATTGCTGGCACGCCGTCCCCTCGCAGAGACCCACGTTTAAGCAGCTGGTGGAAGATCTGGACAGGATCGTGGCCATGACCTCCAACCAGGTAGGAGAGCCGGCGCGGGAGGTCCCGCGCGCCCGGCGGGCAGCGTTCAGCCCAGGTATCCGGGCACTCCTGCAGCGCTGCAGTCCAGCCTGAGCACGTGCACGGGGGTTTGTCCCTTCCAGGAATACCTGGATCTCTCCATGCCGCTGGATCAGTATTCCCCCGGTTTCCCGGACACCCGCAGCTCCACCTGCTCCTCGGGAGAGGACTCTGTTTTTTCTCACGACCCCCTCCCGGATGAACCTTGTCTTCCCAAGTACCCGCCTCAGCACACCAACGGCGGACTGAAGCGACACTGAGGTTGGCACTTCCGAGCGACAGACTGCAAGCTGCGGCGCCCGCGCCTGGGTGTGCACGCGCGTCTCTGCCACGCAGGCTGCAGGCACGATGCTGCCTGTGCAGCCCGCAGTCGTGCTGAGCTATTGCATAAACGGTTTCAAAGACACAACCATAGCATCTCACGTAACCAAAACCACCTACGTCTCATGCCAGCTTCTCCTGCCACCTTAGCTGTGAACTCTCTGCAGCCCAAAGGTTTTGTTTTCAGGTTTTTTTTTTTTCCAACTCTCTTCCATAAAATCTGTGCTTGAATATTTCCACTTGGTTAAACCTAAATCCTCCTCTTTGGCCAGTGCCGTGCTAGAGAGCCAGCCACCTTTCCCGCAGACAGCTTCTGGGAAAAATGACGTCCTAGCAGGGCCTGGAAAGCTGGGCTTACAAAAACCACGTGATTTGCAACGTCGACAGCTCAATAAGCTAAAGCCAGCTCTGAGCAGTGGATTTCTGTGGCAGCTCAACAGCTGATGAGGAAGCGCAAGTGGGAAGCGCTAGCGCGCTGGAAGCATCTCCCGTGCGGTCGGCACAGGAGCCCCACCGCTATGGATCCTGCTGTGCGAGATGGCCTAAGGCTGGTCCCGAGAGCTCACTAGTGCCAGTACCAATTTGCTTTGCTGAGCAGACTTAGGGTACCTTGGAAGTGGGAGATGCACCATACACATCTGCTCGGCACTGATAATAGAGGCAGCCAAATACACCAGTGCTAAAAACGAGAGTCTTGTGTACATAGCTAAAAATATGTATAAATATGAATATATATTTACATGTCTTTTTAAAAGGGTTGTTACCAGAGATATACCAGTTTGGTAGTAAGGTACTAGTGGCTGGTAGATATCAGTTGCTATAAAAAAAAAAGTTCATATATTTTGCTACTTTTGCTGTTTTTATTTTTTTAAATTATGTTCTAAACCTATTTCAGTTTAGGTCCCTCAATAAGAATTGCTGCTGCTGCTTCAGTTTTATATGGGGTTTTATTAAACAATAATAATAATGTGTTGATGCCTTTTGGGAATACGTTGTCATTATATAAATGGCCTTTCCCTTCACCTCCCTAAATCCCCGTGCGGGCTCTGGTGCTCGGGGCCGAGGGGCCCCCGGCGGTGCCCGCACTCGGGCACCGCCT